TTACAACAGATGTGACCATATATTATTGGCATATGGGTAAATAGATCAATGTAATAGAATATCAAATCCAGAAGTAAACCCATACATATAATATAACTTGATTTTCTATAAAAGCACTAATGCATTTCAGTGGGAGAAAAAAAGTCTTTTCAATAAACAGTATTGGAATAACTAAATGTCCTTACAGAACGAAAATGAACGTTGACCGCTACCTCACACCATACACAAAGATTAATTTGAGATGGGTTATAAATTTAAATGTAAAATCTAAGTCTATAAACCTTCCAGAAGAAAACAGAGGGAAATAGCTTTTCAATCTTGGGATGAAAAAAGAATTCTTAGAACACAAATGTCCCTAATCATAAAAGAAAACAAAATAGATTTGACTTCATCAGAATTTCAAATTTCTAATAATCAAAAGACGATATAAGGAAAACACAAATCACATTCTAGTGGGAGATAGTCACAAGCCACATATATCTGACAAAGGACATGTATCCAGAACATGTTTTGAAAACTTCCTACAAGTCAATATAAAAGACAAATGATGGCATTGTGAAAAGGGCAAAAGATTTAAACAGGCTCTTTATAAAGGAGGATATAAAAAGCAGATAATACCCATATGAAAAGCTCTCAACTTCCCTTCCTCTTCCTCCCACACCTTCTTCAGCCACAGGTATCAGGTAAGTGTGCATGGAGGGGAGTAGGGGGATAGAATCACTCACTCATTGTATTAGGGTTTCCAAAGAAATGGAACACATAGTGTGTGTGTGTGTGTGTGTTTAGAGAGAAAGAGATTAAGGAATTGGCTCTTGTGACTGTGGAGGTTTGGGAGTCTATGATCTGCAGGGAAGGCTGGCAGACTGGAGCCCCCGAGAAGAGCTGATGTTGTAGCTCAGGTCTGAAGGCCGTCTGGAGGCGGAATCTGCTCTTTCTCAGGGGAGGTCAGTCTTTTTTCTCTTAGGGCCGTCAACTGATTGGATGCGGCCCACCCATGCGATGAAGAATAATTGGCTTTACTCAAAGTCTACTGATTTAAATGTTAATCTCATCTTATTTTTTTTACATTTTTTATTGATTCATAATCATTTTACAGTGTTGTGTCAAATTCCAGTGTTCAGCACAATTTTTCAGTCATTCTTGGACATATACACACTCATTGTCACATTTTTTTCTCTGTGATTTATCATAACATTTTGTGTATATTTCCCTGTGCTATACAGTGTAATCTTGTTTATCTATTCTACAATTTTGAAATCCCTGGAAGAACAGTCCAGAGTCTACTGCACTAGACCAGGCAAGATGTAAAATGGGCAGCTAACTAAGGCATTGGCAAGCCTCATTGGTAAGGGGTGGAGAGGAGATTTAGGAAGCTGGACTGAATGTTGGAGATGCGCCAGGGATGGACCCAGGGCAGAAGGGCCCTTGTACCTTTATTATATATATGGGGAGTCTGACTGAGACCCAGAGAGGGGAAGCAACCTGCCCATAGCCACACAGCATGCTGATAGCATATATTGGACGGGAACCCAGGGCCTATCTCTGGTCGGGTGTTCCTTCCTTGCCAGGTGGTTTGTGTTCGGCTGTCTCTTGCTCTCCTAGCCAACCTTGTCCTCAGGAAACTTTCTAAAGTCATCCCAGCCTCTGCAATGGGAGATGAGTCCCCGGCCTCCTTGCTCAGTGCTGCCTCTGGCTGCGGGAGGAGAGGCCGTGGGTATGGTGATGGGGGAAGGTCACCTGAGGCTTCTCCTGGGTGTGGTCCACATCCTGGAGCATCTGCCCTCTCTGCACTGCGATGAGGCTGACCCCATGTGGCAGTGGTTATTTTGAGTCATTCACGTTGGAGGGAGGAAGTGACTGAGGAAAATGTGAAAATGAGTAGCTATTGCGAGCTGCGTGTGATAAATGAAACAGGGAACGCAAAGGCAGACGGAGAGGCACATCTGTTATTTTCGTTCCTTTTTATAACAACCCCTCAGTCAGACTTTTCACACTGAGTGGGCACCCTTAGCCGCTGAGCAATTTCCTGACCCAAGCGCTCATTAGTTCCAGTGAAGGCGGAGGAGGGTGGGCACCTCAGGGGTCCTGAGAACAATGTGAGCCTCAGGGCAGCACCTCGCCCCTGGGCGCCAGGCACAGCTGGAATCTGAGGCTCTGGGCGGGAAGGGGGAGCAGAGGTGGGAGAGGGGAGCAGAAGGTGGGAGGGGGGAGCAGAGGGCTTTGACTGCCAGCTCTCCTCTCACTTCCTCTCTGCTTGCTGAAGAGTGGGGTGGTGATCTCAGTCAGTCCCTAAACCCAGGGACGTCAGCACCCTGACTGCCCCTTACCAGCAGTCAGAATGCAAAGGGGGCAGGTTTTTTGTAAGACTATGACACCATCCCCTGAATGTGGCCTTCTCCCTCGAGGTTCTTTCCCTCTTTTGTGAGGTGGATGGTGTGCCCTGTGCCCACCTGCCAGCGGGGACTGAGCCTGGGGGCTGCCCTAAGCATCCTGGTGGAGGGGGCTGATGGACCCCGATGCTGAGCTTCCTGCAGGGGGAGCTCTCTCCATTCCGAGGCCCATCGGGGGCTGAGAGGAGGTACTGAAGGGTGCTGGGGGGCCCTGTCCCTGAGATGGCCCCGGCCAGCCTGCCTGGGGCCTCCAATGGATGAGGCACTGGGGGCTCTGGTTACAGTGCATCTCGAGAGCACGTGCCCAGATTGAGCCGTCAGTTACCAGTGCCTTCACGCTCACCATTTGTTTCCACTGAATGTGTGCTGAGCGCTGTTGTGCGGCTCAGGGAAAGAGCAGGTCTGCTGTCGCCTGGGTGGCTGTCATCCCCTGGTTGGAGCTGGAGCAGCTTCAGAGGCATGAGAGGGACAGATGAGAGGGAGGACAGGAGACAAGACCTTCTGACAGGAATAGGGGTGGAAAGAGTGTCTCAGGCGAGTGATCAAATACTTGAAAGAATTGCCATGAGGCATGCAAAAGAGAGGGACTTGGCCTTGTCCAGAGTGTAGGGGTTCAGTGGGGCCGGAAGCCACAAGTCCACACCGCTGCCTGTCAGGACGACTGTGTTGTTTTCTCCAGCAGTGGGGAGAGCCTGGAAGCAGAAGTGGGTGGTGAAGTCATCACTGGCCGTGGACAGGCCAGGCAAGTACAGCAGTGGGACCATCCTCCCCCGTTGCCTTTTATTTGGATCAGGAAGTACGTAGCAACTAGGTGCGGCCATGAGATATAAGAGGAAGGCTCCAGAGTAGGAGCATAGGCTGCCGGGGCTCTCCCTTTTGTTCTCCCCTCCTCCTCCTTCCTCCCTTGTGCTGTCTGGAATGTAGACACCGTGGCGCTCAAACAGCCATCTTGGACCATGAGACGATGTGCCAACAGCAAGGGAAGAGCACGGTCCCTGATCCACTTAGAGCCACCATCCCACCTCTGGCTTGACCACCTCTGGATTCCTTTTATGTGAGAGAGAAATAGGCTCTAATGATTTTAAGAACAGTTATTCTGGGTTTGCTATTATATACCACTGAACCTAATCCCACAGACACAGACCAAGTGTGAGCAAAATGTGGGTAATTACGTGGATGTCAGCAAAGTGACTGACCATGGGGTCTGAACGAAGTAGGAAGGAAGCCAGGAAGTGGCCAATACACTGGAGAACGGGGTCTCCAGCCCTTGGGGCGTTAACACAGCAGAGTAGGCTACTGGCGGCAGAAGAGCTGTAAGAATGGAAAACAGGAAACTGGTTAGAAAGTGGAATTTCTGATTTTATGGTTTCAGAGTCTGCGTGACAAGATGTGGTCACAGTAAGTGCCAAGATTTCTTAACTCATTTCCATGCGGCTGGCTCCCTTTTAAGTAATTGGTGTGCCTACTGTCACTCCTCACCATAATTCTGGAAGCTGGTTTCTCTTATTAGCCTATTCCATAAATAAACTGAGGCTCAGAGAGGTCAAGAAACTTATCTAAGGGAATAAAGCCGGTAACTGGCTGGGTTGGCAGTAGAACGCAGGTGGCGTGACCCCAGAGGCCAGGCTCTCAGCCAGCCCTCTCTTCTGCCTTGCATGGCACTGGGGACCGCAGGGCGAGATGGGAGGAGCCCAGAGAGGCGAAGGCCCGCGAGGCTGGCTGGCAGCTGCATCTTTCGGATGGGTGTTGGAATCTTCCAGCATGGTGGCAGGAGGCGAGGTGAGGGGGAGGCAGCCAGCCGCAGTACCAGATGTTGAGTCAAAAGACCCTGTGCCTGGGTCCTGGGGTCCTGAGGGCTTGGAAGACAACACAGGAGTCAGGGAGCCAGTCAGAGTCAGACTTGGGCTGAAGCAGAAGGGTGGCCCTAGACCCAGATGGCCTGGGTTCAGATCCCGTTCCCACCTCTCACTCTCTGGTTCACCTTGGACAGCTTACTTACCCTTCCGTGCCTCGACGTCCTCATGAGTGTGGGCATGATAACAGTCTCTACCTCGTAAGACTGAAGAGTAAATGAGTGAACGCCGGGGAAGCACGCTGGACATCGCCCCGCACGCAGTGAGCACCCAGTGCTGCTGATGCGGGGAAGGGAAGGGGCCCGCGCAGAGCCGACGATGGCGCTGAGGGCAGACGGGGAGAGGCGTCCAGAGCGCCCGGGAGAAGCCACAGCGCTTGGCCAGACCGCCTCCCAGGGCTGGCTCTCATCCTCGTCCTCTGCACATCACTCTGCGCACGTCTCTGCGCCTCCTCTCCAAGGGTTCCTTGCTTGTCCGTCTCACGTTTATAATAAGAGGAAAGACCCGACCCCTTCTAAATAAATGTCTGAACATCTTGGGACAGGTGAGGCGTTTTCCTCTGAAGCTCCCATGGGTTTCCAAACCCGGGCCCATGGATCATCCGGCACCTGTATTGGGGGCACGTGTTCGTCATAGGATGAACTGCCCAGCTTTGCTGATGTGGCCAGGATGGACCTGACTTTGGTTCACTGCCCTCTCGTCCCGCCAGGTGCCCAGTTTCCAGCCCTGCCCCTGCCCTGGCTGCAGACGCTGCCTTGGCCCTGACGGATCCATGTTCCGTCTGGTCCTGGAGGGTCTGATACACTCAGTGCAACCAGTGATCGACTCACTCATGTCTGTAGCTATTATTAGGCACCACTGGAACCCAATCCTGCTTAGGGAGCTGTTTTTATTAGCAAGTGTCATAAGGTTGGCATCTGTGAGTCTGTTTAGGAAAACTTCTGGCGAGGCTGGGAAACGTACTGGGAAGGATGACAGTGAATCTGTTAAAGAACCAGGCAGCCCTGGACCAAAAAAAGCACCTGGATGGCTATGGCTTGCAGGCAGGTCTGAATTCCGTCCCCGTTCTCAGCATCTTTGTGTCATGAAGGCTGCAGCTCCTGGTCATGGCCCAGCCTCAGAGCCCAGGGTCTGGTCTTCCCTGTGCCGCTGACCTGCTGTGTGATGCTGGGCAAGTCATTTTGCTTCCGCGGGCATCACAGTGTCAATCAGTAAAATGGAAATAATGCATGTTGCCGCCCAGGGCTTTTGAAAGTCCCAACCAAAAGAAGAAAAATGGAAGTGCAGTGGCTGTCACATGGGCCACCACGTGTGGAGTGCCGGCATCCACTTGGGCCTGTGGGGAGTATGAGAACCAGCAGATTTGACCCCAGGACAGTGCCTGGGCAGGGGTGAGAGAGGTGACGTCTCTTGCCTGGATTAGAAGGAGGCAGGGAGCTAGGGAACCGAAACTCAGACCCATTACCTAGAGACTCTTTTTAGAAGTTTAAAATGAACTGACCTAGAGGAATGCTTGAGTAATAGAAAAAGCCACCCTGAAGGGGCAGAAGGCCCTGACTAGATCTAATCTGTCTATCTGACCACACGGTTTAAGGGTCTCGTTGACTCAGTCTAGCTTGACCACATTGATGGAGGGTCCCTAGTGACCTGGCCTTGTTTTCACAGAGTGTTTGTTCCATGGAGCAGAACGAACTGGAAAGCAAGCAGGAAAAGAGCAGCCAATGGAAAGAGGACAAGAGGCACCAACGAAGACAGACTGAAGGACCCAGCCAAGACCCCAAAAGCGGGAGTCCTCACACCCAGCCACTGGGCTTATGCCTCCCCCACTCGGGTGTCTTGTTGTCTTTTGAGCAATACCTTTCACCTTGTCCTTCTGCTTCTGCTGGGAATTTTCTCACCTGGCAGGCAAGAACCCACACTTTTGGTGGGCTTGCCAATCCGGGGGTCTCTCTTTCTGCTAACAGATTCACAGAGTCTGTGAGCAGATGGACTGAGCTCTAGATCTTGGTGAGTCTGGCTCCAAAGGTCATGCTATTTCCACTGTGCTAGGAGGAACAACAGCCTCCAGAAATTACCACCCCACCCCCACCACTCCCAGGGTGTCTGGGGGGCCTGGGAAGTGAGGTGAGCAGAGAAGAAGACGGGGCCAGGGTAGAACTGGGAAGAAAAGCAGAGAAAAGGAAAGGATTCCAGATGGGCAGATCAGACCCGGAGGAGCACGCGGAGGGTTCTGGGGGCTGATGGTTCTTTCCCTTTTTTTCCTTAGTGGTAGTTACCTGGGTGTCTTCACTTTGTGATAACTTATGGATCTGTGCACTGTAATTTGTGCACTTTTCTGTACATATGTTATACTTTTTAAAAAGGTTAAAAAGAAAATAAGAACTTTGTAGCATATAGTTGAGTACAAATGTATTTTTAAAGTTCATACTCCCTATTACTTATGCAAGTCTCATCTGCATGTATTTAAATGACATTAAAAGTTTTAGTTAAGACTCTAAACACATCCAGGGAAAATTCCCAAGAGTCTGGGTCAGTGTATAGATCCCAGCATTGAAATTCAAGGAATCGTTGACCCCTACTTGTTGTGGCTGATTAGCTCCTGACATGGAACCCGTTAGTGGTCACCGGTCCTCCTTTCTTCTTCTCCCAGCAAGAAGATGATTTTCTTCAGCCTCCTTTGCATTTAGGTTGACTACAGGACTCAAGTTAGCCAATGAGATGTGAGCGGAAGTGTTATATCAGATAGCGTCCTTAAAGGGAGGAAGACCCACCTTTATCTCTTCCCCCAACTTGTTAACTAGGCTCTAGATCTGATGGCTGGAGCTCTGGCATCCATTCTGGAATGTGAGGACAAGAGCTACTTCCTTGGAATATCAGAGTGATGAGCCAGAAAGAGCCTGGATCTTCAAAGACTTTTTTGAATGCAGCTACTCTCCTCGCCGTATATTGCTGTTGGATGTCTGTTATATAATAGAAAAAACTGTTTATCTTTATTAAGTCTTATCATTTAGGGGATTTCTGCCCCTCAGAGCTGAACTGGATTCTAACTCTTTATTCCCCCCATGAAAGACATGATGGCTTTTCTTGTCCTCCAAGCTTCTGATGGGAACCCACCCTTTGACAGGCTTCAGACTGGAAAACCAAGAGTTCACTCACCAGCCTGAAAAATGCCATTAACTACTTCAAAAGATTAGGTCCTACTTGAAAGCTGAATGGACAACCCAAATTCTATGATCTTAGGGGGTCTGGGGAGGGGGGTCTCCCAACTACCTCCTTCACACACATGGTACCCGAAATTCCATCTTTATATGTTAGCTTATAAGATGATACAGCTATCAGGATGCCTACGCAAATGCTGGTGTCTCTGATAGCAGGGGTACTGTGTTACATTACCTCTCACACTGGCATAAAGTTGTCTATCTTCAAAGCAGAGACTGAGTTAGAGAATTTGAAAGATAAATGGGACCTTGGGGAATCATTTAGCCTAATGTTTTCCAGTTATGCTCCCAGAGGCCCTTGCCCTTTCATGATAGTGTCTCGGGGCTGCCATTTGGGCTGAGAAGGGACATGGCTGGGTTGGAGAGCAGTGTGGAGAACAGAAGGCATCCTTTTGTTTTGAAGCCAGAGTTTCGATGTTGGAAAAAGTTTTTTAAACCAGAGCTCTCTTTCCTTTCATGGGCTAAAAAGTCCAAGATTATCGGTAGGTTCAGCAAGCCTGGATTCAGGTGGCCAGTTAATGGCGGAGCCAGACCTGGAATTCAGGGTTTTAACTCCTAGGACCATGCTCTTTCCTCGAGTCCATACTTCCTTAGGCTGGCTTCGGGTATGTGTTGAGATGAGATAGTGAGACTCAAGGCAGGTAAGCTCTGGTGGGAGGAGAGTGAAGGGGACAGATCCTGGTCTGGGCTCTAGTGGGGATACTAGGGGATCATGGTCCTGGGCACTGGAAGTAGTCAAGAACTGATGGGGGAAGAGAGAAGCCATCGGAGACACCTGACCAGCTTCACCACTTTACTAAGAGTCAACATTTGTGAACTCTCTCCCTCCATCTCAGGCCACAGTAAACACCGCTGTTTAGAGCTGTGCAGATTTGTAGTTTACAAAGTGTTCTCACAGTTTGGCGTTTAATCTCCACAAACTCCCACTCTGAGGGGTGGGTATTACATTTTCCAGTTTACATGCAACCACACCAGTGGGTTAGAGAAGCTAGGTGTCTCTCCTGAGCTCACAGAGCTGTGGCCTAAATCACATCACCTTCTGACTCCCCATCCCAAGCTCTCCCCCCGCCCCACAGCTCCTCCCACACCCCCGGACGCCACCAGCCACTTTCTCCAGCCTGTCAGCCTTTGCAGCCAGACACCAAGGCGTTCAGACAGCAAACATAATCTGTTCCCTCACTTGTAAGCTGGCCGACCTGTTCCCTGGCTTCTCTCTTTTATTGTGAGCTTGGTGGTGCTAGTCACAGGTGCTGGCGCCAGTAGACCAGTAACGTGTTGGAGTTTGGGGGGATGGGCAGGAGACAGGGCGCCAGTGGTGCTGTACGTGGCTGAGATGGCATTTCTGGGATGTCGGAAGGGCACATCTTCCCGTGTCTCATTTCTCTTCCATCAACACTACTCGGTCACAGCAATGGTTCCATTAAAAGGAGGAAAAGGGAAACATAAGTGGGAAAAAGTGCTTCTCCGGGTGATGGCAGACAAGGAGTTGATTCTCCAACACTCATACTGTCTCCAGCTGGGTAGCAGCAATGTGGTTTCTGGAACTGACCTCAGTTCTCAGTAGACTAAGCCAACTCTGGTAACACCATCACCTTGTCAGTGATTGGTTCAAGGACCCAGGCATAAGCCAATCCCGTGCATGGAATCCCTCTGGTGATTTATTGGTCCCAGGTTGGGATGATGTCTCTTTCTCCCTCTATCTCTCTCTCTCTCTGTCCTGCAGATGTCTTAGTTATTGCTGGCAGCCATCATATGGCCATGAGGACAGCCATACTTCGGAAGAAGCCTATACTTTGGATGGCAGAGCAAAAGCTAGAAAGAAGCCGGGGTCTAGAAATACTGGCTAGCCGATTGTGGATCCCACTCACCTCTAGTTGTTCTGATATGTAGGATAATACATTTCTGTTTCCTGTTGTTTTAGTCCAAAGACCTTAACTGATGCACTGACCTTCAAGACATAAGATTTATTATTTCCAGAAGTGAGATGGAGCCTCACCAAGTGACCCACATTCATGCTCAGTAGTGCCTGACGGCCAGGGGCATGCATTTGTGATACAGATGGCCAGAGTGGGAGGGCACTTTGTGCACAGGAATGTCACCCTGTGATCGCCAGGCTGCACTGCAAGGATAAATGAATCTATGTGAACGTGTTGATGGTGGATAATGGATTAACATGTTATGGTCTATCAGGCCTTTGGAGACACAATGCCTGAACACAGGGGAACACCTTTTGTAGACTCTTCAGGGCAGTGGTCTAGGACTTTCCGTATGGGGCTCTGCATATCACATGATACCGACCCGGGGCAGCAAACCACAGCTTGCGGGCCGCCTCTGGTCACTCTGATTTGCTTCTGTCTCAGGCAGCAGCAGAGCTGAATGCAACAGAAGGTGTCTGGCCCACGAAACCTCCAGAATTTATTCTCTGGCCCTTTCAGGAAACACTTGCTGACCCCTGGTGCACAGCCCTGCCTATACTTGGCCTGTACAACGACCACCCGGGCACACCCACCACCTCGCAAGGCCAGGCCGCCCTGCTCGTGACTGCACTCATGGACGAGGCTCCGCTTTCAGGGTGATCGGGCAGAATACATCAGCCCTGCTGTTTTTCACATACAAGTAAATGATGAGGAAATTCTACAAGAAGTTTTCTTTAAAACGAGTCCCATTTCCACCAATTCCTTTTATAACATCAGATATGTGTTCCTCCGGAAAACTGCACCCCATGTGGTTGCACTGGAGACTTCGGAGGATGCGGTTAAGGTGCTGCTCGCCTGTCGGCTTCCTTCCAGTGCTCCGAGTGCAGCCCCGCTGGAACGTGCTTTTATTACAGGAACGGATGATGCTTTGCATTAAATTTCTCTCCATCGGGAGCCCTAAATGAAAGCTATTGGAGCCTTTCCCAAGAGCAGGATTTTAAAAGGGAGGGGGAAGAGAGTGTTTTTGCACCAGGAACCTGAGGAGCAGAAGGAACCCTGGAAAGTGGGGGGGAAAAAAGGAATGTATCCGAGGCAGGCGCTGGGCTGTCCCAGTGTGCGCTGGACCTGCCCCGAGCATGCTTAACCGATCTCCATGAATATCAAATGAGCTGGCTGGTGAAGCACTT